CGGACGAGAGGAGCCTGTTCGTCATGCGGGTGGTTCAGATCGCCGTCATGTGCGTGCTGTCCCTCACCGTGGTCTTCGGCATCTTCTTCCTGGGCTGCAACCTGCTCATCAAGTCCGAGGGCATGATCAACTTCTTGGTGACTGACAGGAGGCCGTCCAAAGAGGCCGAGGCCGTCATTGTTGGAGCCTACTGAACCAAAAACCCTGGACCGGGACCGGGAGTTGGGACCTCTGTCCGTGCGCAATGAGATTAACCCAGGAAGAAAAACTGGACACTCCCGTGGGTCCTTTTTCTAAGAGGCCTGTTTGTTTATACAATATTCACTGTTGTAATGTCCCTATAGAAACCGTCCTTGTTATCTATCATTTGATATGTTGATGGCAAAGGAGCATCATGTAAATACGTACTGTATGTGTTTTTTTACATACAGTTAGCACAAGTATGTGTGCGTGTGTGAATGTGCAATGCATCTGCTTCTTTGGAATAAATTCACTCTGCAATTAAAGACTCCCCTCCCGGTTGTATAAGCTCTGTTTTTGTACATTAGATAACTGCTCATTCATTTTTTAAAAATATAATAGGGCTATGTCTCCTGAAAAGCCGTTTTCATTTGGATCGCTCTCAGTATATGAAGAGGCACAATGTACAGGAGCTCATTTCACCTTTGAGCCAAACGGTCGTTCATGTTTGGAATATCTGAAGACTCCAAAATAGGTGAAGTTATTCACATCACTGTTCAGTGAAAAAAAAGACATTAGATAACTGCTCATTCATTTTTTAAAAATATAATAGGGCTATGTCTCCTGAAAAGCCGTTTTCATTTGGATCGCTCTCAGTATATGAAGAGGCACAATGTACAGGAGCTCATTTCACCTTTGAGCCAAACGGTCGTTCATGTTTGGAATATCTGAAGACTCCAAAATAGGTGAAGTTATTCACATCACTGTTCAGTGAAAAAAAAGCATGTATCTCTATCTCTATAGCCGTTTTTTAAGAAAAAAAATAATCATGTGGAAAACACAACATAGGCTTTGATATACGTTAAATCAGCGGTCCCCAATCCCCAGGCCGATACCGGTCCGCGGGTCATTTGGTGGCGGGCCACACAGAAAGAATAAATGACTTACATTCCTTCCGTTTTATTCATTTCAGAATCTGAAAGATGTTTTATTTTGAAAAAATACTGTTATATCCGTCTACGCCCCTTGAGACGGATAAAAACGGATGGATTTTTCTGCTTTATTCATATTCCAAAAACGCAGTATTAATCAGGCTACATAGTTTCCAGTCGTGGGTGAGCATTGAACGCTTGATTGTGAAGAAAATGTTTTACTTGACCTGGCCTGTAAAGGTTTTGAAAACCACAGCTATGGATGCTAACTGCCGGCTCATCAAAGGTGTTTTCTAATCTGTGTCGTCATTACAATAAAGGGCCATTTTTAAGGCAACGTTGTTTGCTAATTTTCACGACATAATGTGCTCTTTTGATGCTGAAATGGACCAAGAGCTGACGTTAGCTAGCAGCCTAGACATTATGTTTTGCTTAAGTACTCAAGGACAACTCAAACAAGCATTTTATACCTACCTGTGAGGAAAAGCGGTTGCCATGGCAAACACAGTGACGCTATTGCCCTCCTCATAAGCAACATGATGTCTACATATTGCCGCCATAATAACACTTTGGGCTTGACTAAGATTAGACTCAAGTGAGGACCAAGCCTTGCCATCATCTTAAGTGGGTAAAATGCAAAGAACTGTGTTTGTGTGTTTGTGTGTTCCGTTTGGCTGGAATTGTTGGTGATGCACGTCGTCTCTGCTGTGGTTCAGCTCCCCTGGGCGAAAGCAGCAGATTCCAAGATGGATTTGACGGCACGGCCTGTCAGCTGCAGGGCAATATGTTGCAGTGTGATGGCGCCCATATTTCGTGTGTCACACTAACACTGAATCAACTTTGTTCACATTGTCGCCTCAGATTTTTCCTTTCTGCCTCTTTTTTTTTTCCTCCCTGCGTCTCCTCTCTTGATGGCAATTGAATAGATTAAGGATGGGTGAGTGACGGCCTCATTTCAACATATCGGGTACTTAGGATGGATGCCGATACCAGCCAGCAATACTTAAAGCAAAAAAAATGACATTGAATATGCCTTCGTGGCTAGTAGTGCTACATTGTGGCAGTTGGACAAATCGGTAAATCATCATGTGAGTTAGAAAGACAGAAAGGTTCAAAATAATCCGTCACTGTATGAATCAAAATTTTATGTATCATGCTATTGGAATCGGTATTTGGTATTGGTGAGTATGTATCTCTATCTCTATAGCCGTTTTTTAAGAAAAAAATAATCATGTGGAAAACACAACATAGGCTTTGATATACGTTAAATCAGCGGTCCCCAATCCCCAGGCCGATACCGGTCCGCGGGTCATTTGGTGGCGGGCCACACAGAAAGAATAAATGACTTACATTCCTTCCGTTTTATTCATTTCAGAATCTGAAAGATGTTTTATTTTGAAAAAATACTGTTATATCCGTCTACGCCCCTTGAGACGGATAAAAACGGATGGATTTTTCTGCTTTATTCATATTCCAAAAACGCAGTATTAATCAGGCTACATAGTTTCCAGTCGTGGGTGAGCATTGAACGCTTGATTGTGAAGAAAATGTTTTACTTGACCTGGCCTGTAAAGGTTTTGAAAACCACAGCTATGGATGCTAACTGCCGGCTCATCAAAGGTGTTTTCTAATCCGTGTCGTCATTACAATAAAGGGCCATTTTTAAGGCAACGTTGTTTGCTAATTTTCACGACATAATGTGCTCTTTTGATGCTGAAATGGACCAAGAGCTGACGTTAGCTAGCAGCCTAGACATTATGTTTTGCTTAAGTACTCAAGGACAACTCAAACAAGCATTTTATACCTACCTGTGAGGAAAAGCGGTTGCCATGGCAAACACAGTGACGCTATTGCCCTCCTCATAAGCAACATGATGTCTACATATTGCCGCCATAATAACACTTTGGGCTTGACTAAGATTAGACTCAAGTGAGGACCAAGCCTTGCCATCATCTTAAGTGGGTAAAATGCAAAGAACTGTGTTTGTGTGTTTGTGTGTTCCGTTTGGCTGGAATTGTTGGTGATGCACGTCGTCTCTGCTGTGGTTCAGCTCCCCTGGGCGAAAGCAGCAGATTCCAAGATGGATTTGACGGCACGGCCTGTCAGCTGCAGGGCAATATGTTGCAGTGTGATGGCGCCCATATTTCGTGTGTCACACTAACACTGAATCAACTTTGTTCACATTGTCGCCTCAGATTTTTCCTTTCTGCCTCTTTTTTTTTTCCTCCCTGCGTCTCCTCTCTTGATGGCAATTGAATAGATTAAGGATGGGTGAGTGACGGCCTCATTTCAACATATCGGGTACTTAGGATGGATGCCGATACCAGCCAGCAATACTTAAAGCAAAAAAAATGACATTGAATATGCCTTCGTGGCTAGTAGTGCTACATTGTGGCAGTTGGACAAATCGGTAAATCATCATGTGAGTTAGAAAGACAGAAAGGTTCAAAATAATCCGTCACTGTATGAATCAAAATTTTATGTATCATGCTATTGGAATCGGTATTTGGTATTGGTGAGTACTCCAGAGTGAATACTTGTACTGTTATTTGTCTGGAAAAAAGTGCCATCGAACATCCCTCGCACAGATCAGTGATTCTCAAAGTGTGGTATGCGTACCACCATTGGTACACGGACTCCCTCTGGTGGTACATGAAAGAATCACAAAAGTAAATGTTAAAACTGTGTTTTAATCTCCACGTCGTCCTTTTTCATACGATTACAATAGAAATTAATGCTTGTATTTATTGCAACTTTTTATTCTCGTCAACATTGAAACTTTTCAACTTTGTCTTCCAAAAACAGCAATTTGAGTCTCATCATTCATACGTTTTTGGGGGGCTAACATGACTATTATGTCATTTTTAAAAAAATAATTTGTGTTAACAACTTTTCCTTGTAATTTTAGGACTTTTACCCCAACAACCCCCCCCCCAAATACCTGTATATTTGTATCTCTCTCTCTCTCTCTCTCTCTCTCTCTCTCTCTCTCTCTCTCATTAAAGTACAGTCATACCTCGGTTTTCGAACGTCTTGGTTCTCGACCAATTTGGTTCTCGACCAAACAGTTCGAGTTTTTTATACCTCGGGTAACGAACAAATGTCGGTTCTTGAACAAACTGAGCGCACTTGAATGCACCATTTGACTCCTCTCGCCTTCCTTACACGAGGAAGTGACGCTTCCTCTGGTAGACGAGGAAGTGATTGCTTCCTCATGTTGCTTTCCATTGTGAGCAGATGTGTTCAGTAAACATTTTTATTTCAAAAAGAGCATAGTTTCGGTTTTCGAACAATTTCGGTTTTTCGAACAGCCTTCTGGAACGGATTATGGACGAAAACCGAGGTTTGACTGTATTCCAATTTGCAGCTGACTGTTAACACTGTTATTCTTTCCCGAGGTGCCGTGTACCTTTTTTTCTTCCCACTGTAGTCTCTGAGGAGGACGGAATGCGGAGATTAGAGTGTGTTTTGTGGACATTTTCCTCATGTCCCAGCGGTCCGTTGCTACCACCAAGCTCACCCAGGACACACACTAAATAGTAAGAGAGATCTCGCAGATAGTGCCAGCGTTCATTCAGTCAGCACACAACAAAGCGATCGCTCCGCAGGACATGTGAGTGATCCCTCCCCAGTTGTTCCGGAATATGTTCCAACGCACAAAACATGTCCGGATGCACAGTTCATGTGTTGTGTGTTTTGCGGCAGTGTGATGTCGCTCGGTGTATTCTCCGCGGGTCGAAAAGCCATGCGGTCAGAGCTGCTCTTCACATCCGCGCTCAGCCACCGCGGGGCGTTGATTGCGGGCTAAAAAGAGGCTTTGGGGTCCTGACTTGGGAGCGCGTGATTGGTTGGTTGACAGAAGAGGCCAGTCGATGGAGCGGATAGCGAAAGCTCCGAATGGCACTCAAACGCCTCCTTTTTTTTTTTCTTCTCACTTTTTCTTCTGCCTTCTTGTTACTTGACACCTGCGGGCATGTGACGAGATGCTTCTGTCGACCAAATTTACTGCACGATTGGTTGTTTGTATTGTTTTCTTGTCTACTGATCCATTCCGTTCCTTTTCTATAGTGCTCGTTCTCATGAATAGGGCTGAAGAATTTTGAAAAATAATCTAACGCCCCCCCCCACCGCAATATTGTGATATAATACACAATTATATTTTTCAAGGTCCTCTTCCATGTATTTTTTTTCACAAATCAGATTATAAAATCAATCCTAACAAATCAGCAGTCATTCCATTCATTTCAGTAGGGAAAGGCTTGGAAAATGATCACTTTTACAGTATATCAAAGTACTTCTATATCAAGCTCTGGAAGAGCTGAATTGATGCCATTGTTAAACAACCTGCCTTGAACAATAGCTAGACAAGAAGAAGAGCAAAGAGGAGGAATTAAGAAATCAATTATGGCTTCATTATAAATTATGGTTCCATGCTGCATGATCATATTTGCATAAGTACAGGCCATGACAATCACATCTGTACCATGAGTGCACGTTGAGTGGTATAATTTATTCGGATAACATACGTGTATCTACATGCATCATGTATATAGTTTGCATGTATGTATTATGGTTGATATTCATAATAAGATAAGATAAGATAAGAAAACCTTTATTAGTCTCGCAATGGAGAAATTCCCAATTCACAGCAGCAAAGTTATGAAAGGAAGAAGTAGAACAACAAAATATAGGAGCTGCTAATACATTTTATATCAAGCCTTTACCTCATATGGTGGAGAGTTGTTAAAAAAAAAACACACACACAGGGCACGCACAGGGACAAACAACCATTTACACTTACATCCGCATGGTCACTGAGCGGGACATTTGCGCTATGATTGTAAGTTCAGGGGGTTGTTGTTTTGTTTTATTTCATGAGATGTTCTTGGAAAATGTTCTTTTAGGGGTGGAACGCAAAAGTGTACAAAGGCACCTCAGCTGCTTGTCAACAAATTTTATGAGTTCAAACAGGTCAAGATCATTCTGGACCGGCGGTCTGGGCATGACCTGCTCATTAGTCATGACCGCCATGCAAATTGGAGGTTGTAAAAGTAATAGCTACGAGGATGCGTTTATCGATCCTCCGAAATCCATTTGCGTGAGCATATGTCCGGCGTTATTGACCCTCTCATCAGGCAGCTCTTTGGCGGTGGAAGAGACAACAACCTCTGGAAAAAGGAAAGTACAGCTCCGCCCTTTGTGGAAGGCTTCGTCATCCGCCATTAGCGGCCAAGGATACGGTCTCTTCAAGAAACTACAATAAACTTTGGTCAAGGGCTATTTAACTCCCCCGCAGAAGACGGGGCGACAACTTATCGCCGGTATGAATCACGTTAGACAAGGTCTGCACACTTTGTCCCAATAGAGTCAGCACACTGGCTGGCTATTCATTTTATCAGTAAAAATCATAAGTGCCTGAAATATTCCTCAACCTGCATGTACATGTATTACACAGCTTGGGTGGGGGGGCCACGCTAGCCGCCGTGTATTGAGCGCTCCCTAAAGCCTTCAGCTTAAAGATGCCATTAGCCATCATTTTATAAATCCAGTCAAATGCACACCAACCATACAGCAGGATGTGAAATGAAACATGCTTTGTCACGTGCGCGTGCTTTTCATACTTTATTTCCCCTTGAGGTCAGCTCAGAGAGATGAATTCATCTAATCCTCCTGATGTGTTGCGAAGGTCCGATTTTTCCACATTTCTGTTCACCAGTGGTCCCCAACCCCCGGGCCGCGACCCGGTACCGGTCCCGGGGTCATTTGGTACCGAGCCGCACAGAAAGAAGAAAGAACTTAAATTACTTCCGTTTCATTTATTTTGGAATCTGAAAGATGTTTTATTTTGAAATATGACCGGATCCTCTGTTACATCCGTCTACAATATGTCACTCTTGACGCAGGTGAAGTTACGCTAAAATGAAACCCAGGAGCTAGCTAAAAGAGTTAAACACAAACGTCTTTCGGAAGGGGAAAAGGCCCAGTCAGGAGACAGAAGAGGAGCCTACAAGGCTTTCAAGAAAAAAGAAGGCTACATTTAATAGAGAGTATCAGGATTTCCTACTTCAAATACGGACTTGTCTCAACGGGAGATTCGCGCACAAAGCCCACTCTTCATAATATGCGGCGATGGTGAGTCGTATTTTTCACGCACTTTGTATTTGCGGTGTATCTTATTTTGAAGGCACGTTTAAACGTTACCTGAACGGCCTGAGAGTGTGACGGCCAGACAAGACGTTTGTCGTGGCATGATTCGTGTCTCGTATTATGCTTCGAAAATAAATGCTGTACACTATTCTCAAACACTCTTTTATTCAATCCACGCGCGTTTGATGTTTCAGAAAATACCACGTACTGTATTGTAATTGTTGAGTTGTTTGGTTCTTCTGCCGTGTGATTGTGATCCATGATGTTTATGCTCGTCTTGAGTCAGCCATATCATCGCTTGACAGCGCGGCTCTTATACCTGCTCAAAATAAATCATATTTTAGACAGAAGACCTGACTGGTGAAACTGTGGTGCATTTTCATCACCCCCCACCTCCACAAAAAAAGCAACCACAGCCGTCCGAATGATTCCATTTCCGATAGCGTCGAAAGCCTTCCGGAGCACTCTTGGCTGAGCAAAGATACGCTGATGAGAAGCGTCCTTCTCAGACGTGACGCTCGCAATCGGCGCTGACACTTTGGACCTGCCTGCCAAGTAGCAGTTCCTGGCCTGCCGATGTGGCGCGCACTTGCCTTGCCCCAGCTGTCACATACTCTCACTTACCGAGCCCGTAATGAATCATACTTTATTTCCCCTTGAGGTCAGCTCAGAGAGATGAATTCATCTAATCCTCCTGATGTGTTGCGAAGGTCCGATTTTTCCACATTTCTGTTCACCAGTGGTCCCCAACCCCCGGGCCGCGACCCGGTACCGGTCCCTGGGTCATTTGGTACCGAGCCGCACAGAAAGAAGAAAGAACTTAAATTACTTCCGTTTCATTTATTTTGGAATCTGAAAGATGTTTTATTTTGAAATATGACCGGATCCTCTGTTACATCCGTCTACAATATGTCACTCTTGACGCAGGTGAAGTTACGCTAAAATGAAACCCAGGAGCTAGCTAAAAGAGTTAAACACAAACGTCTTTCGGAAGGGGAAAAGGCCCAGTCAGGAGACAGAAGAGGAGCCTACAAGGCTTTCAAGAAAAAAGAAGGCTACATTTAATAGAGAGTATCAGGATTTCCTACTTCAAATACGGACTTGTCTCAACGGGAGATTCGCGCACAAAGCCCACTCTTCATAATATGCGGCGATGGTGAGTCGTATTTTTCACGCACTTTGTATTTGCGGTGTATCTTATTTTGAAGGCACGTTTAAACGTTACCTGAACGGCCTGAGAGTGTGACGGCCAGACAAGACGTTTGTCGTGGCATGATTCGTGTCTCGTATTATGCTTCGAAAATAAATGCTGTACACTATTCTCAAACACTCTTTTATTCAATCCACGCGCGTTTGATGTTTCAGAAAATACCACGTACTGTATTGTAATTGTTGAGTTGTTTGGTTCTTCTGCCGTGTGATTGTGATCCATGATGTTTATGCTCGTCTTGAGTCAGCCATATCATCGCTTGACAGCGCGGCTCTTATACCTGCTCAAAATAAATCATATTTTAGACAGAAGACCTGACTGGTGAAACTGTGGTGCATTTTCATCACCCCCCACCTCCACAAAAAAAGCAACCACAGCCGTCCGAATGATTCCATTTCCGATAGCGTCGAAAGCCTTCCGGAGCACTCTTGGCTGAGCAAAGATACGCTGATGAGAAGCGTCCTTCTCAGACGTGACGCTCGCAATCGGCGCTGACACTTTGGACCTGCCTGCCAAGTAGCAGTTCCTGGCCTGCCGATGTGGCGCGCACTTGCCTTGCCCCAGCTGTCACATACTCTCACTTACCGAGCCAGTAATGAAGCACCTTTGGCCGAGGCAGCCTTTACCGCCACGCTGTCGTCAAAGTCACAGCGGTTGCATGTTATTATTCCCCATTAAGTAGGAATCCAAATACTTTGACTGCCAAGTTTAATTTGGTTTAAATCGTCTGGTCGATTAATCGGTCAACCCCTCGTGTGCCTTAGTTTTCCAACGCGTTTGGTTTGTGCAGTTAGCAAACTAGCTCCACCTACTCCCCGAAAATTCTTCTTAACTTTAGATAAAGTAGTCCAGTGGTGATGTCACTTTCGAGCGTCTCGTTGCTGGCTATTAAAATACGACTTGACAGCCAGCAAGTGGACAGGGAGGGCTTGGCACTGGCAAGGCCACTTCAGAGCGCCTCATTATTGCAACTTGGAAAGTGATCCGGTGGTATGCAGTCCGGCCACTGGAAGCATTAAGCGGATTTATTTTCCATGGCATAAGATACATGTCGTAGTGGCATTTGATTGATTTTTCCAGATTTTGAAAACTAATTTTCTATGCTTGGCAATTTGGCAGGGTTGTTAAGAACCACTTCCCTGTGGTGTGGCACAAAAAAATAAAAATAAAAGAACCGAGTGAGGGGAAAATGGTTCGACTGTATTTGAATGGTGTTTGCTCCGACAAGCTGTTAGGAGACGGCGTGAATCGGGACTCCTTGGGGAGCGCGCCATCGCACTCAGCACCTCACCCGCATTAGCGCCAATCTGATTTGCTCGCTGAGCAAAGTGTCCTGAATTTCTTGTCTGACGCCGCACCTTGAGAATTCATGCCTAATGGTGCACCTCCTGCTTCTGTCACAGCTCATGAGCGTAATCCTGGGCCGCCACGTGGTTAAAAACCTCTTCAGGGTCATGACTTATTGAGCTACCTCAAAATGCTTCTCGCGGTGCTGCCAGCTCCTTCTCAACCTCACGTCCGGTTCCGTGATCACCTGCCTTTTGTCTGCAGGTGCGACACGCTCCTGAGACCGGTCTTCCTCTCGTGTGGTGACCCACGGCTGCCGTGCATGCTGCTGATGGAGAGTCACATGAGGAGTCAGTTCCCTCTGTCAATCAATGGAAGTCACAAGCATTAAGTCTTCTAATCCGGTGTCAGCTAATCATTTATTGTACGGTAAGTTTAAGTGGTTCTGTAACCACTAGGGTCCAAGGAACGATTATTTTAATAGTTGATTGATCTGTCGATGATTTTGTCAATTTTCAAAATGTTGAAGTTCCATCCCATTCGAAACCAGGACATTATTTCAAATGAAGACAGCAGATCAACAAATGAGTTCTTGGTTTGGTCTGTGACGTAGGCGAGAAAATGGGCTGAAGTGTTGATTTGTTGTTTTCCAAAGTAAAAGTAGAAGTGTTGACATCGGAAGTCTACGGAGTGGTACTGGAGGAAATGGAGGGATTGGTGGCAGGGTTAAAAATGTGAAAACCTAAAATGTATCACCTTAGTGTTGTGGGACATCGAACTACGGAAGCAATATCTCGCACTGCACTTATTTTTACTTCAAAGTCTGTGGACTGTTCTGCAGTCCATGGATTAGATTTGTGGATGGTTGTTTTTTAAATGATTGAAAATAATATTAAAATTTATAAATAAACAACACCAACATAGTACTTATGTCATGTTTTGAGATACATGAAATCCACAAACAATTTCCAAAACTAAAAGTAATACCAAAACAGTGTTTGTTGGGGTTTTTTTTCCAAAAAATAAGACCGAAAAAAACTCCTCTTTAAAACAAAAAAAAACCCAAATTCAAAATAAAAATTGCCAACAATGAAAATTCCCCAAACTATTATTATCCTTTTTTTTTGTCAAAAGAAATAGCAAGCAATGACTTTGATGTTTGACCCTGCAAAGAAATCATATTTCAGCACAGACGCGGCGGAAGAGTCGATGGGCAAAGATAAGCAGTTTGCACTGACAGGAGGGATCGATCATAAAAACAGATGGCGATAATAGGAGAGGGGAGGGGGGAGAAAATAAAGATTACCGGATGAGGGGCGGGAGGGAGGAGCACTCGAGAAAAATGTCGCCGATGACATTCACGTCACTTACTCTGCGTTTGAATCATTCACGTCGCAAGCTGTGCGACTTAACTTTCCCCGAGCAAGGATGACCTTGTCAAATGTCAATCACAGGCGACACACGCATACGTTCGTACCTGACATCTGCTCACATTTCGAACAACTCGGTGAATCAAGGATGAGAATTTTCTTCGTCTTTGTTGGGTTCACCCTACAGAGTTAGCTAGCGCGGCTTGGCGCGGCGACTCGAGGTTCGCGGGGCTTCGCGAGGCTACATTCAAATGTAGCTTGCGTTTTTAACACTAAAAACTCCCCCTTTGAAGTACAGTCACACAGTAAGAATACTTTGTTACTTCCCACTACTGTGCGTGTGACAACCCACCGAGCAGACCCACACCCGACACAGCAACCGCTGTCTCCCTGGATCCGCATCAGGCCCGACACCGCAGGAGGCAAAGCCACCGCCGCCGTTCGGTTGGTCCCTGCTGCTTTTTTATTTTTATTTAGAGCTGAGTCACTCGTCGGCTTTGCTCTTTTGATTCCTTGTTTCCGCGTCAGTCTGCATTAGCGGGCCCACAACGTTGATTACTTGGAGCTCGATGTTTGTCGTGACGGCGTAAATGTTGAGCGACGGGCGTTCATGCTAACGCGCTTGTGCGCGAAAAGTATGACATTGCGCTGGATGCTGAGATAGACGCGTTAACACAAACATTAATTGTTTATTACCCCACAGAAATCATCCAAGATAGAGAACATTATGCGGCTCTTTCATGACGGCTCGGCTCTTACATTTCTGCCCACTTATCACACATATTGGGCTCTTTCCTTTTCGGAAAGGGCATCAAAGGTAGGATGGCGGCGAGGCGGGCAGTGGCGCATTGGAGAAACTTGAGAATACACAACTTGAGAACATCACGTCGCTTTTGAGCCACAGGCACATGTGAAATTCAAAGTACTAAAATATTATTTGGACTCCTATGACAGTGAAAAATGTCTTGACACCCTAAAAATGACCCTTTGCAGCTTTACACGCGCGCACACAAAATGAATCATAAGGACGCCCCGTCAAGTGTGACATTTACATTTGTCAGCACAGAAAATAGGTAGACTTGTGACTTGCGAACAAGTGAAAACGGTGGAAGTCGACTGGATTCCGCTTGAGGCCAGAGCGTCAGATCCCAGTCACGCTTTGTCGGCTTGGATGTAAAGTGACGAGGAGACAGGTGCACGCAACAATGTCATTCGGCTGTCATTCATGAGTCCGTCCGTCGTATCGGTCGCAGCTGGTGCGACGCTCGGACGGCTGACCTCCTCGTACATCCCTCGACGATGCCTCGGGGCGGTCACCGGACCCGCGCTACCTTTCCATAATCGTCTCATCTGCGAGCTTACCCGCTTCGCCGCCTGACACCGAGCATCTGTTTTCATGTCTGTGTCCTTTTCAAACCTCGAAACAAGTAGCTTTGTCCCTTCACTGGAACACATCAACGTCTTTGGTAGAGCACCGACGGACGAGTCATCGGCAGGTGTTAAGGGCCCCAAAAATAACTTATTTCATCCATTATGTCTATCTTAAATTTGTATCCGATGTCCGATTAATCGGTGATCGCATTTTTGTTTTCTTGCCAGATAGCAACATCGGCTTCAAAAACTCCATATCGGCCGGGGCCAAGTTATTCGCGATTCTTTTAATTCATCCTGAATACAAGATGGCATTTTTTGCTTGCGCGCCAAAGCCCCGCTGCCCTCCCTCATTCTTGCCGATACGAGACCCAATTCCAATCAATGTTATGAATCTATGAGATTTTCCACTGCTGTGATTTCTGGCCCACACAGCAGGTCATGTGTTTCGTAACACATACACAGCACAGCTTCACCGGTGTCTCTCCGATGCGTCACACTGATCACGGCACACGATGGAATACAACTCGGTAGAGCACAAATCTCTGCTAATTAAAAAAAAAAACAAAAAAAAAAACGACAATAGCTGTTGTCTCTGCAGCCGTGTTGTGCCGAGTGACAGTTTCTGCAATCGGCATTGAGCACTCTGATAGGAATGAGGCAGTAGAATTGAAAGAATTGTTTCGGGCCCAGATTAAGGCTAATGAAAGTAATTCAAACAAAAACAGGGAAAAGGAGGGAAGAAAAACAATTCCTCAAATCGATGAAATAATTGTATAGTTTTCAGATGTTCTAGAAGGCTGTCCCTACTTTTTTTTTTCTTTTGGTTACAACTTGGAACTGCTCATCATTCCTTCCACGTTGTTCTAGCTAAACAAACACTTCCAGCCTATATATTTTTTCAATCATCTCCAAACGAGATTTTTAGGGTACAGTTCTAAGATTAGTTTGAAATTGTATTATATCTTGAGTAGTGGGGAATCTGTATACAGTACATAGACTCTATTGGTACTGTATACGAAAGATGATCGGAGAGGCAAACTGGGCTTATTTCGCTATTAATAGTTCAGTGACAATGGCGCCACGTCGGGTTATTTTTACAGGATGGATGCCAGGTGGCCTCGGTTGGGTGTAAGTGAGATGCAAAAGGGTGAGAATACGCTTCACAACACCTCCTTTCATCTCGGCCAGGCTGACATCAGAACACAACGGCACCTGGGGAGGAGGACCACCGCGCTCACACGTCGTCTCAAAGGTGCCAAAAGTAAATACGCTCTGTACAGACACCTGTGGAAAAGACAAAGAAAGATGGAACGTCACTTATATAGCGCTAATTTGTGTGTGTGTGTGTGTGTGTGTGTGTGTATATATATATATGTACATATATACACACAGTACAGTATGGATATGTGCACCAACACACACACACTCACACTCGTGTGTGCCTCTGTAATTGTACCATCTAGTCTCCTGTATGTATGCCTTTTTTTTTCCCCCCATTAATGCCATGTGACAGCAGTCACCCATGAAGCACCCGTGCAGTTGGCATTAGGAAGGCTTCATGGGGTTATTGAACTCCCAAGTATTCCCATAGCAAGGAACGTACACAAGTGCTCGCCCCCCTTTATCACGCACACACACACACACACACACACACACACACACACACACACACACACACACACACACAGCTGTCGAAATAGGTGACGGCGAGGACAAAGACTCGGCGAGAGTGTGACAAGCCGTCCGCCCGCCACTGTGCCGGTCACCTGCAGATGCAGCGATGACATTTGACGACATAATGAAAAACTACTAGGCCATGTCTAATGGGAGCTGGTTCTGACAGACAAATGGTTTAAAACGTCAAAGAAACAGCAGTCGAAAAGCTGTTTTTCCCCGGCAAAGTACGGTGAGGTCGAGGAATGTCCGATACTACTTTTTTTTCCCAGACCGATACCACCAAACTGAGTACCAATACTGTACCACTCGTACTTGTGATACATCCTGTAAAATGAACCCGTGGCAGTTTATTGTGAACAGAGATGTTACTTTCTGTCTTACGGTTATGGTGACACCAGCGGTTAGGTTACTCAGTCAGCACTCTAAGTATGAACATAAACCTAATCAAGATATTTCAACTTTTTGACAATGTGTCTTAACCGGCATGTGAGAGGATGGCAAAGGACACAACTCACACGGAAAAACATGTGAGCCATACATCTCAGTATCGGTTGCTGGGGTCGGCTGGCTTCAAAAGTACCCGATACATTGATATCAGGTCGTACGGATACCTGGTATCAATACTCAGCTGTCTCCAGTGAAATTTGAGGCCTCCACCTTCTACTGCAGTCCTCATTTTTGCAGTGCCGTTCCCTGCTTTTTCGCATTTTTTTCCCCCATCCAAGGCACTCCTCTTAATGTTCTGTAAAACGCAAATGGAAAATGTCCAGACTTCAGACTCAGCCTTCCGTTGGCCCCAAGGCACATTATTAACACCAACGGTGCAAAATCCATTCGTGTCTGTCATCTGGGCTTGACAGATAGAAAGAAGCTGAAGGCAGCGTAAATTGGATCGTAATAATAAGGATAGATGTGTGTGTGTGTGTGTGTTTAGTGAAGAGTGATGATGACTGCAGATTGACGTTGCGGATGGAAGTGACAAACCACACTTGCCCCGTGCTTCAACAAGCAACCTTTTCTTTGAGTGAGCTCGCTTTCTGTTGTGAAACACTCAAGTTCTTGCCCACGAAGCATGTTTGTTGGATTGATTTACTCCTCCTCGTCCTTACATTTTTTTTTCATGGTGTAACAAAATATATGAACACAAACGGCGCAGCAGCACATGTAGACAGACAATATATCAATACTCAGTAATATATTCTGTATCCTCTACAAAAAAAAAATTTGCTTCCTGAGCACTTGTGACCATCTTTATGCTTACATGTATGAATCCCTGTTTGCTTGCCTGTGTCTACGTATCCAAGAAAAGGTGCATCCAGCAGAAGGAACCACTTGTCTTTCCAATCCATTAATTATACGACTACTTTGTTTCTATAAAGTACAACACAGTAGTGTGCTATTTTTCCTCTTAAAAAGACATTACTTTTTTTTTTTCATGATTGTTTTTTTTTTTTTTTTTTAGTGGCTGGACCAGATTAATGGAATTTCCATTCATTTCAGTGACAAAAGTTGATTTAGATACCATTGTTTTGAGTGACAAGCTTGGTCATGAATGAATTAAATTTGTAAATCAAGGCACCACTGTGGGAGACATCCCTGGTTGAGATTCGGGATTTTGTGGCTTCTAGTTTCAGTGGAACTCCAAAATACGCCTTTGTGGCAGTGCTGTGATGGAAGGAGAGAGAAAGAGAGAGAGACGAAATCTCTCACCAGAACTAACAATTGATTGGCATTTGTTTCCCTATTAAAAACAGATAGCAGGATTGTAGACTCCCAAGTAAGTGACTTGGACAAGCACAGTAAATCCCGCGCAATGACACTGCGATTGTCAAAATGAATATTTGTTTCCCTCTTTCTGGTGGATGATCACGTGTCAAATGGGCGTTCACCGTGTCGATGCTGCAGGCAAGACTCCCATTGTCTTTTCATGTCAAATGTCTTTTCATAAGGTTCACTAAATATGAATCTTTACAAAAAAGGTGCAAATGCTAGCTAAATGCTAACATATAACAGGAAACGCTAATAACGGGCTGACGAATGGCATCGGTGTCACGTTATTAGAATCATTTAAGTATATTTGAACCCAAATATTCAAGGAATATGTGTAGATCAGTGGACTAACTTAAGATATAAACTCTAAATTCAGCGAGTCCAAATGTTACAAGCTAGCTCTCAGTATTGTTGTAAAGCTACAACTGACTCAAAGACGGATGACTGCTCGATCTCTCTCGTCTGACCAAAGTTTATGCGACGGCAAGGGACACATTTCCTTTTTTCATTTTCTATAAAACAGAGATGCTATAAAAAGCAGTGAGCACAGAATGAGGTTTCCTAGAAGGGTGTGTGGGCTGACATGCCGCGTGGTTTGACATCTGTCACATCGCATTAGCCTTTGGAGGCGGCTCGGCTCTAATGGTAGGTGTGGCTGATTGAAGTGAAGGTGAACGCCTCGAAGATGCGGGCCCTACTCTACGCTGGAGTTTCTCAGTAAACGACATGGTATTATGATTTTCTTTTTGTAGGCTGCATGGTATTTTCGTGTGTTCACATCTACACTAAACGAACATGTCGGACTCTCTTTTCATGACCAGCGCAGCGTATTCCTGTGCCGAAGCGGGTTATAACCGATATTGGTAACTCCATAGAGGAGCACAGGCCGGCAGAGATCTTTGAGAGGGAGGGCTGCGCCGCTGTGGGCGCGGTCACAGCTAATGATTCCTTGGACCACGGTGAGCAATTTCAGATGTGCACATGGCGGCCAAAACAGTATCACACCTGTCCAAAATGTAAGATCGTAATAAATTAGTTGACGTACAAACAAAAAAACAAAAAAATCAAACAGCCTATACAGTATATAAAAATAGAACATCATTGAAAATTTTAAGAAAAATTAATGAAGTCTCAATACAAACCCTAGAACTATGGTCACACATTGTTGCAATACTGACTTACGTACCAACCAATAAATAAATACTAATATACTGCCACCACTATACATACAGGATATCAATCAATCAAAATTTATTTAGATAGCACCTGCCATTAAAAAAAAAAAATGCAACTCAAATTGCTCCCAAATGACTATGCAAATATTGTTTTAAATTTTTCTTAAATATTTTGGGGACACATTTATCCGCATCTGCATACCCGGCGACCCCTGGTTGTTAATAACATATCACGTGGAGCCGCCACTCGGTGTTTGCTTGACTTTCTTCACTCGCATCATCCCGAGTGTGGCATCTGCAGCAGGCAGATGCCAGTTTGCCAGTCAACTCTGATTTTGGGGCTGCCCTGCGTCTGTGTCATTCCTCAGACGACCCGATAACGCAAGTCTGCCCTGTCACCAAGCAGACAGACATTCCATTAAAAGAGCACGGGCGACTTGTTTCCTCGCGACATTCATCCCCTTTCGGCCACACTTCATTGCGCCCAGACGAGAGAACTTTGGCTTTTTAATCTGCCGTTCATAGGAATTGATAAACATCTCTAGGAGCGGCCGTGCCTTCGGGGTGTCGGCGATTTGGAGATCGGGTGCAGAGAAACTGTTCAATGTAAAATACTTGATTTTGTCCCTCACTCAAATGGGCTGTCCGGGGATGGGTGGGGGCTGGGGGGGGGTTACTTTCTTAGATAAAGCGGCGCTTATCCTCGTGTAATGACGTCTTGCAATCTCCGAGCGCGCACAAAACTTCAGTCACCGCTTTGTTGTGACGGCTGCTGTGAAATGAAGGTGAAAATAATCCCTGAAGATTCCAACGATTGAGGATCAAAGGATTAATTCGAGCGTACATTTCGGTTTTACTTTTTTGTTCCCCAAATAGAAAAAAATAAAAAAATCAGCATCATGGAAGCAGAACCCGGAGTGTGCAAGACAATAAAAACGTTTTAACTCATTGAAGCAGCAGTTCCGACACTCCGCTTGCGTGTGTGCGGCACGTGGACACATCACAAAGCGTTTAGAATCAAACGGTTCGTGCATCACGATCACTCAATATCATTGTGCTGATTTTCCTGGTGTACGTGCCTTGGCCACCAGGAGGCAGTACACTGAATATGACGCAAAGATTTGATGGTGAAACAGAAGAAGAATGTCATCTGTTTTTATGTTTATTTTATTAGATTTTTATTCATTGTTTTTTTTTTGGGGGGGGGGTTTGTTTGGGTTTTTTATTGACCGTGCCTTGGCCACCAGGAGGCAGTACACTGAATATGACGCAAAGATTTGATGATGAAACAGAAGAAGAATGTCATCTCTTTTTATTTTTATTTTATTATATTTTTATTCATTGTTTTTTTTTGTTTGGTTTTGTTTGGGTTTTTTGCAAGGGGGGGTGTAAATCTGAAGAATATACTTCTCAGAGTATTTTTTTTTTTGTCTCTCGACATGCGTGGCAATTGTTTGTGTGGCTCACACGGCACTGTCTCTGTCCCCGCTGTGCACAGCAGTTTGTCTCTTTCTTCGCCGGAGGTTCGTCGCCAAAAACTTCAACTTTTTAATAGCGCAATCACTTCCACTTTTCACTTTCTTGGGAACCATACGGAGGGCTAAATTGCAGCAAACCAACAAAGATACCCGAATGACCTGACACGTAGAGCGAGCGCCATTGACGTTGTGAAAGAGAAAGCGCAAATGAGCACTCCGTACAGAAGTCGGTTTGTGACCGCAAAGAATTATTTTTAGTTTTAAGTCCAGCCCAAACATTTTTTTTTTTGAGCGGCTGTAACAAATTCATAACATGTCCGTTCATTTTAATGTTGAAAGATGATCAGTCAAGGGTCTCTGTGTGAAGAAAACCTTTTCACTCTCCATCTTTGATTGCGCCTCCTCGAATGTGTGCCGTAATAGAAGAAACCGGGAAGCCGCAATATCGTTCTCTGTGACATTTTGTCACTAATTTCGGAGCAACAAGATTCCATCTGCAGCACTGATGCGATTGCACCGTATGAGTTCCCAAAGACCATTTCCTTCACGCGGCACTTTAAATGAGTCGCGCTCTCGTGCGCCGCAGATTCGAAGCACGCAAACGCGTGCATTATGCAGCCCCACGTGAGAGAAGCGCATTCATTAAAACATGAGATCCTCACAGCCATGTGACATAATAGTCATCACATTCAAAACCATATGTGCCGAACACATCAGCTCCATGAATCTTTTTTTTTTTTTTTCCGCAGCTTATCTCCTGCGAATACTGTAAGTATGCGAGCCGCGGTGTAATCTGCAGCTTTTAAAGCAAAAGATTACTTTGAAACCCACTTTGCTCCGGGGGCCCATTTAAAGCCATCTGATTTGAGTTCTCATCTTCAAGGAAGGGGAAAATACACACACAATGGACTCCCGTATTGCTACTCTCTCTCTCTGGTATTATGCCGAAGCAGGAGTCAGTCGACGATGACAACGCTTATTTGTGCGCAGGTAATAACTAGCCTGTCAGTCAGACTATGGTAAGGAGTTTGCGCATTTATTCCGCATCCTTGATATCCAAGGCCCATGTTCTAGTCTGCTCTTTGTTCTCATTAGTAAGATAACTTTAGCATGCTAGTAGATAGTATTGAACAATTCATCGACTTCAAAACGACCTCACAAAGCGTGTGTGTGTGTGTGTGTGTGTGTGTGTGTGTGTATATATGTGTGTATATACATGGCCTATTTTAAAACTGTTTCCATATATATGGCGCACCGCATTATAAGGCACATTGAATAGAAGTTACAATAGTAGCTAGGGTTGCATCGTGCATCCACTAGATGGCACTACGCTAAAGGGCATACAATACAATACAGCTTCATTTATATCGAGCTGTAGCAAAGCACTTTCCAGAGCATTTAAAATGCTACGTCCGAGAAATCAGAATATTAATCCATATATCAGGCGCATCATATTATAAGGCGCACTGGAATGCTTTTAGGTGCGCCTTATGTCTTTTTTATGCAGTTCAGTTTCGCCGCCCTTATTTTTAGCTGTGTGTGTTTTCAATGCACTGCATGTTTGCACTGTGGTTGAATTTCATCTGTGCTGTATGTTGTACATAGAGCATATTTGACAATAAAGCAGACTTGATTTGACTTGATAGTGCGGAAAAAAAAAATCAGCAGTGGTTGCAATCTAAAGGTCAATGGACTTATACGCGCTTCATCTTCACGAGTAGGACAGATTTGGCGTACTCGTAAACACAACATTAAAACAAATATTTTGATCGCAAGCGTTTCACTGAGTCAAGGTGTTGTTTTGGAATGGATGAACATCAGGTGTGGAATAGGACTGACTCCCACCGGAGATCAGAGTGGCCGCTCTGCTGTGGAATAAGGAAACTTGCCGAATC